AATTTCTTAAATGGACTAAATAACATAAAAAAATTGTATATTTAAATGCTTTTGTGTTTAAATAAATTCCTTGAATAAAAAAGTGCAAAAATTTTTTTTTGGAAAAATTTTTAGTGTTTTTTTCGATTTTCTATGAATGCTTCTTTTTCTAAAATTATTGATTTTAAGTACGTTAGTCTTATGTTGAGCCTTTTCGGAGTTAGTGCATTTGGTTACTATTCCTCTATGATGCCTGGGGGTTTCTGCAGAGTCCCACCCATCTCACTGACTAATTTGAGTACTCCTCATGATCTTCGTGATAATTTTCAATTCGATTTTAATGAAATATAATTTACGTAAAAAATATATAATTAAGTTAATATTGAATTTATAATTCTCATTTAGTTTAAGCTACTGGATAAATATAAAGAATTCGTATTTTGGAACTCAAACAGTTATTTTAATGATTTTTTTCTTGACTTTGATTTTCCGCACTTGGTCATATTATGTGCATCAAATACGTGAAGTTGGAGATAAGCATTAGTATGTGTTTGTATGGAATTATATTTATAAACTTATGAATGGCATAAATATGATGTATGAGAAATACAATTTACATCACAAAGATAATGATTTTATTCGTTTCAAATAATGGCACATGAAGTAAAATAATGTTGAATTTATAGTTCTCATTTAGTTTAATATGCCATAACCACGGTTGCCACTTATGGTACTTTAGTACCAAAATTGGTACTTTTTTTTTTTTTTTTCGTTTGGTACTCATGTTAAAAAACTGGTACATTTTTGACGACCCAACTTTATTGTGGATTCTTCCAATTAATTTTTTTTATAAATGCAACTTTGCACTATTTTATATTTTGTTCATTTATAACACTATGGAAAACACAGAACGAGAAACCAAAAAGGTCCAAAAAAATGTTGGACCTTTTTTTACAGAAATGGTACCTTTTTAAACCAATTTTGGTACAGAAAAAAATTTTCAAGTGGCAACCGTGGCCATAACTATGTAAAGAATACATATTTTGAAGTAAATTCTTTTGTTTTGTTTTTCTTGGAATGCATTAAGGATCTAAAAATTATAGTTTTAAGATTTAAAATTTCTTTCTTGGCCCAATTTCTATGATAATATTTTTTTTTCTTTTTTTTTTTATTATAAATTTTATATCCCTCTACAGATCACCTCTTTTTTTGAAAATTATGGCTTTGTTTAATATCTTTTTATTTTTAATATACTCTATATTTCGGGTTTACCTGAGAGTTATAACCAGGATCGGGATCCAAAATTAATAAACATTAATTAATAATAATAAAATCTGTATTCTTGCGTCATGTATGGATATAAACGTTTAATTTACAAAAAGTTCTGCTCAAATTGCCACTAATATGCAAAGTAAAATTCGAATAAAGTATTTATGAAAGTAAATGATTAAACTAATCAATATATATTTCAGAAATTTTTATTTCTTAATACCGAAACAATATTATTTAATAGTGCATAACAGATATCAATGAGTAATTAAATCGTTACAATTTATTTTGAAAATAAATTAGTTATTTATTTAGTTACTTCACATTTTATTCACATTGTAGTGTTTTTAATGCTGACCTATATTTAGATAAAGTTTTTTTTTCCTAATTACATTGGAAAATTTTTACAAATCCTTAAATTTAGTATTTTTAAGCCTGTCCCTTTAAATTAAAAATAATTTCAAATTGATGAAAAGGAAATAGTTAACATTATCAATAGCGCACCTCATGAATAAAATATTTTAATCCTGCCTTCTGTTTAAAAACCGTACACTAAGCTGTTTAGCAATAAAAGTGAACCTTGAATAAAAGTTCTCTTATACAGACACACACACACGCACACATGTATATACATAGAATTGCAATAAACTAGTTACTAGGATTAAAAGCTTTTAATGGCTTTTGTTAATGTAACTTTAACGCAGGTTAAAAAAGTATCCTTTGCTATTAAAAGTATGCATATCCATACCAACGCATCGAGGAAGGGTAAAAAAAGTTCATATCTGCCCATGTATGGTATGTATGCATGAGTATGTATGAATGTGGAAAACTGTGGTTAGCTTCACAATTTAAAACATGTAGCAAATTATTTACGGATAAAAAGTTTCTCTGTATATACATTTTATATATAATATACATACATATGTGCATGTTTAAGTAAATCTATTTATAATATTTTCAGAACTTATTTTCTGGCTAAAATATTTTTAGTTAAATTTGAGTTTAATAAATTAAGTGGACTTTCTGTGTGGATCCTTTGGTTAAATTTTGAAAAATTAAGTTTTTTTTAGGTTTGTTTAAAATAAAATACAAGCTAATTAAGTTAACTCCTTTTTTAAATAATTATTTTTTCTGATAAAAAAATATATCTCTAATTTTATAAGAAACTATGTACCATATACCACACTTACTTGTATATGGGCTCACCGTCACCCTCACGAAACCAAAGTACCATATAAACAGCATCATCTCGTTCCATTGGTGTTATGTCACATGGTAGCATTGCTTGACGACCCATTACGCCCTGCACAGATGTAAGCGGTACTGTAAAAAAAAAAATTACGAAAAAAAAATGTCAATAAGTTAAAAAAGTAAATCCACAATAAAATGCAATACAAATTGAAGACAAAGCCGATAAACAAAATTAAATGCAAATTGACAGTTGTTTATGAAAATTTATTCTATATAAACCCAAATAAGAGTAGAAAAACTTACTACTAATAAGAGAGTTCGCATATACCAACAATCAACAAACAACGCTGCAAGGCAGTCTCTGCAATAATAGAAAAAAAAAAACAATGCGGATATATCTTTCGCATGTGGAGAAACTTAATGACGTATAGTCACGTGTGCTGCTTTTTTCTGGAGCTGTAACAATTGGCACACATCATCGGCTTCATCAGTGTGGCACAAGTAGCAAAAGCAAAAGCATCAGCAACTAAATCAACATCAACAACTGCAGCAGGTCGACAGCAGCAACCAACGTTCAAATGTTAACAGCAAAACAAGAAGAGGAACGGTAGCTGCGGAACATTTGCGTAATCACTTCGAATGCTACTATCGTAGCTGGCTGCGCTCGTTCCATGGCAAATGATGATGAATCGGTGGAAATATTCCGGATATGCGTCATGAGTAGAAAATTGTTTACTTGTTTCGTAAATGTTCATTTTCATTTCATATTGTGTTTTTTTTAAATTTTTTTATTTTTCTGAATATTTTTATTTTTATTTTAGCAAAATAATCAATTTTATGCTTTGCTATTTTATTTAATTTTTTTTCTGCATTTATTTTTTGAAAATTGAATATTTTGAGTTAAATTTTCAAAAATTGTTCATTTAAAAAAATTACCTGAATAAACTGAATTTGAATTTATTGGATTCATTTATTTTTCTTATAATTTTATTTCCTCAAAGTTTGCCATTGAATATAAGAAATTGCAACTACAGTACTACTAAAAAATTGTGAGGAATATCAATGCAGAAATATAGTCTACATATACATATAATATGTGGAAGTGACTGGTAGAGGACTACAATAATCATTATTGTGAATTCTCATGGTAAATATCAAAACGCAGTATAAATAAACAAAAATATTTGAATTGAAATATACAACATATTAAATAGATAAATAGTATCTCTGAATATATTCAGTGCATATTTAAAAAAAAATGTAAACAAATATAAGCAGTAAATCAACAATCCATAAACTGGCGAGTAACAACTTTGCTTCAACTGACATCACGCGAAATTAGTGAACACTAAATTTGTACCTCTTATTTAGTGTAAACTAATAGCTTTATTAGTGTTATATACATTTTGTAGTGTTCATGTTTTGTTTAATGTACATTAACATTGTACAACCAGATTTTCGAATGAAAATGGGTGCAAAAAAAATTGCTTCAGAATTAAAATATATATAAAACATAAAAATATATATAAGAACAGTATTTTTTTTTAAATATTTTAAAAGAAAGATCGTGCCAAAGTTGAATAAATTGTGTCTAAAATATTGCAACAGACATAAATCTTAGGTTCTATTGTAGATGAAGAATCTGTAGAGAATTGCTTTTCATCTATTAACTTACTTTCCATTCTAATTTCTTACTCTGATTCGAAGAAACACAGGTTAACTCTTTTGACTTCGATACGATAACATGAAAATTTCCGTCAATTTTTAGATATTTATTCATATATGCGATTCACATGATTAAATGAGATTAATTGGTTAAAAATTTAAAGGTTAATTGGTCCTTACTGTGTCTCAGAGAACTTCATCCTAGTCACATGATATCTTGAATCTCGAATCAACTTATTAACTAATATATATATATATTGTGGGACGTCAGGATAGCACACCGTTAAACTAGTAACCCACTGAAGTAAGTTAAGGATTAGCCGAAGTAGACCACGAAACGTCTTGGGTCCTTTTTCGTCCTTCGATTCTAACTAAATAATACGCAATAGGTTGTAGTAATGATAATATACTAAAAAAAAAAGTTTTTGAAGTCAACACACATAATAACATAAATTATTTTTGTTTCATTATATATTAGTAATTAATTTATTAACAAACAAAATTGATATACTTTTGTTTGTATACTATTTGAACATTTGTAATATTTACACATAATGTTAATTCTAGTTATTATAATACGTCTTTTGCTACTTATTTTCAAGATTAAAAAACAATCTGTGTTTTATACTTACTATTGAAAGTAAGAGCATCTAAAATTGTTATATTATACCTTATAGTTTTCGGCAATTGTTCTTACAATCTGTCGCTTTCTGCTCAGAATATTGTGTCTACTCTCTAAGGGATTATTTTTAGTTTTAATTAAAAATCTTTAAAAACTGACTAAGGTAATTTCCTTTCATAATCACTTTATTTATTCTTTTTATATGTAATTGTTTACTAACTGATGTTAATAACAACGTTAGTTAAATTTTGCTTATAAACCTTAACTCTTTTTTTGTTAATATATGAAAATGCTATCCAGACTCAAACTAAAACTTGTTATCAAATGTACTTCACAAAGTGGTTAAGATCCTTAATTCTTTACTGCTTTGAGTTCTTATTGCATATTAAAATTAATCGCCCGAAGTGAGAGACTGCAGTTGAAATTTTTAAAGCCGCAAAAAACATTTCATTTTAATGCATCTTTACGCTAATAAAAATACTAAAAGTAGATAAAATTTGTACAAAAATGCGGATAAGAAGTCTAAATGCAATATTCCTTTTTGCTAAGTGTGAATAAAAAGAAAAGATGAGTAGAAGATAGTAGCCTAAGAAATAAGAACAAACATAACAGCCTTTGTTGGAACTACGAATACACGTCGCAGAAAATGAAACCACATATGAGACTAGGCCATAAGGTATCATAGAAGCGCTTAAGATACGTTAACATAAAAGCATCTGCAAATAAGATTTTACAGAGCTACTTGTGCTGCTTTCTATATAAGCATGTATGGAAAATTGCAAGGAAGTAAGTAAGCTCTTGTACTACCTTTCAGTGGAAAGCATTTCATACATAATCATAGGCAATTATGCTATCGCAGCATCTCCATTTGCCACCTAATATCTCATTTAAGATTAAAACTTGAAAGAAACCAGAGCGTAATGTAGCGTAGCGTAGTGCAAATGCGTTATGGCAACGCCTAATGGCAGATAAAATATCTTTAAGTGCAAAATTAAGTTCGTTTCTAACAAACAAAAAGCCTGGCAACAAAGCAAGTTGCCAGATATGAGAAAAACTTGTAAACATTGTGTGCCTATTTACTTTTTGATGTCTGTGATAGTTTTTGATTTTGTAAAGAAGCGCCTTGCGTTGCTTAGCAAAATGTTAAACAAATGTTGCCTGACAGTTTAAAGTTTATAGTGAGCGCTATAGAAAATTTCTAAGAAACTACGTACGTTAATCTTCGAAGTGTTACGGCAACACAATTTAAATCATCCGAAATTATGGTTAAGTGCAACATGCAACAAAGCCAAACACAACTTAAGCCTGCTGCTCAATAATTCCTTGGCATTATACGTGTCTTAATAAGTGCATCTTTTTCTAATGATCTGCCCCGGAGCGTAGCATGAAAAATTGTTTACGTGCACGTCGGTTGCATGCAACATTTGCGTCTTGGGTTGAGTGTTGCATTTTTGCGCACATTTTGCATATTTCAATTTACTCCGGTGTTGCGCCAAAGTAGGCCAGCATTTTACTGAACTGCATGTGGTACGTTTCGGGTATCTATTGGTAACTGCAATTACATTACCCACCGTTACACTGGAATCTAACTCTTCCTATACGCAGAGAATCTAGCTGAGACAAGGCAAGAAAATCGTATGAAAATAGTGTGAAAATGTTGTGAAAAACTCGGTTACATTTTTGTTCACCAAATTGGATGGATTTCTCTTTTGTTATCTAATTTAAGCGTGAAGCAAAAGATTCTTTTAAAAACAACTAAAGAAGTAGAGAAGTGTGGAACAAAATTTACTTCAACGCTTTTATCAGCAGCGGCTTTAACACCAGCATCAGCAGATTACTGAATTAAGATAAATTACCATTTTTGACAGTCCAGCGTGTCTGTGTGCGCGAACATTTGTCGGACGAGTCGGTGAAAAATGCCTCCAGTTAGTGTTGTTGGGAGTGTTTCGCTGACCAGAAGTAGATGAGTCGGTGAGTAGAAAATTAGATGGGAAAAAGATTAAGTTAAAAACAATGATGTGAATTATGAAAAATGTGTTGGCGAAAATAATTCAAAAAAATATGGACACGTATAAATTTAAATTTAAAAGACTTCCAGAAAGTGGAAATTCATTTTTTACTTTTGGGTGTAATTTAACTGTTAGCG